TATAAGAGACACAAACGCAGGTTATACACATGGACTTCACCTGATGGTATGCATAGGAATCAGATCGACTACATCTGTGGAAGGAACCGCTGGAGAAGCTTAATATCAGCTGTGAAAACTAGGCCTGGAGCTGATTGTGGAACAGACCACCAAAATGGATGTCAGAAGATAAATCATCCATAGGGTAAAATAAAGGAATTGCTATGACCCAATCTATAGGAAATAAGTCTTCTCATTATGTTAGGAATTCTTCTAGACAGCCTGGTGGCAATAAGCTGTGCTGGAATGCGAAAGCAAGCAGCAGTACTAGGCATTCAGCTGCTCCACCTGAGAAGGATGGGCAATCTCATCCCGTGCAATTAACTGCCTCTGAAAACCCGCTGGAGGGGTAGATATGGGTCATTTCTGACTCTATGGTACAAAGCATCAACATTTATCTAGTACTGTGTACAAACCAAGTTTTATCTACCTATGCCTAGCCTAATGTGCAATCTTTTGGGGGCCGATCTTAAAAATTCTTAAACTTGTAACTCTTTACTTACTGTTAACAGATAGCACTTATCTCTCCTTTAGGACAAATTCATGACTTTGCGGGGTTAGTACCTCAGCACAACGGCTTCATTTTAGTACAAGGTGTCTTCCTCTCCCTTCCATGACAACCGACAGATGTTTAAAGTTCCTTCTGCATCAACACTGCTATTAGCCGATGAGGACATTTTTAAAAAGTTCACCTTCGTTTGTCCAGTGCCCTCAGAGTCTGCTGAACAACAGCTACTTGATAAATGTTCTGATAGAACGAGAACACTGATAGCTTACTCAGCTCTGCACTGGCGCACTTCAAACTTGGCCCAGCAGTGGAGGGTTTCAAAAAGCGTCAAGGGCATATAGCACAACCTTCCCTTAGACCTTTCTTAGGTACCCTCCACCTTCATCTGTGGACCTTGCAAAGGATTCCACAATACTAAGCTTCCTGGCACGTGGTAGATCCTAAATGAGCATTTTATTAGATGAATGAAATTCAAGAACGTCCCGATCTTACTGGAGCAAAGGCACAATCTCCAGGTCCAGGATTACCACTCTTCTCACCCTCAGCCCGGCCCAGCAAGTCTCAGGAGACTCCGCATGACCTTGTGCCGACTCGCGATCACCAGCGAGCCCTCTCAGCGAGCCCTTCCCAGTTTTAAGGCATTTCTTGCAGCCACAGCTTTCCCGGCACTTCGCGGGGACAAGCAGGCCTAGTTTAGCTCCAGAACCCAGTTTCGTCCTACAATGCTCCATTCCCTTTTCCGGCCCATCAGACCAAGCTCTCCCATTCCTCCCGATTCTTCCATTCCTACCGCAAGCTCCCATACCATTGTGGCTGCACAGCCCAGGCCGAGACAACGAGGTTTGCCCGAGAAAACATGATGGTTGCAGGCCTTGCTGAAGGTCGGGCAGACAGACCCTCACTGCGCACGCGCAGAAGTCTCCCGCAGACCCCTCCCACTTTCCTTTGGCCTTCAATCTCGCTCTCTTGCGCCAGAGGGAAGGAAAACTCGCGAGCGTTGAGAGTTAGTCTTTGCAATGCCGCCGACTTCTGTCACTCAGTCGCCCTTATTGTTTGTCCCACCCTCTCTCTCCATCGCTCGTTCCGCTTCCGGCTACCTAGGAACTGGGCTTTGAGAGTTATTAGCTGTTGTTTTCGCGATGGGAAAGTCAGATTTCCTTACTCCCAAGGCCATTGCCAACAGGATCAAATCCAAGGGACTTCAGAAGCTTCGCTGGTATTGTCAAATGTGCCAAAAGCAGTGCCGAGATGAGGTAAGGGGGCCTGGGACGGCTCCATCTCCCGATTACTAACCCCTTGTTCTTGTGGAGGAGGGACCCCGCTGAAAATCTGGCTTCGTGCTGGGGTTAAGAGTTTGGGATATTCAGTCATGCAGATGTGATCAGCAGGGTTTCTGGGGTCTGCATAGGGCAAATGATAGAACTAATAGTCTTTTCATCCTTAATCCTACTTGTTAACCAATGATCTTTGACTTATTCCTCTCAAGTCAACTTAAAAAAAAATTAAATAGAAAACGATTTTGCACTTCTCAAAGGAAGTGATCTTACCCAAGCAATCGTAATACCAGAATGTGAATAATAATACAATGCCGTGTGCTCTGGCAATAATAATAAGAATAATTATATCTGACTTGACGTGGCTCTTAAGAGAAACAATAATTGGATTTCACACCTCTTTTAGATATTAAATAAGAAAGTAGCTCCAACAATTTGCCAAGCGTTTTCTCTTTTAAATGTCTTTAAAATATTATTTTTTTTGTGTGTGTACCGTCAAATTATATCTGACTGGTGCTGGAGGAGATTGCCCCTCCTTCTCCAGCAGAGCATCTGGGGATTCGAACCGTGTACCTCTGGGATTGCAGTGCAGCTTCTTGGCACTAGGCCGTCAGATCTCCCGCCAGGTGTTTCTTGAGCACTTACATCAGTGTGCCAAACCCAGAACAGTATTCTGGTTAAGATTATGGACAATAGAGTCAAGCTAATATAAAACAGCATGGTAATGAAATGTGGCTAACCTCACCACTTACTAGCTATGTGTTCTTGGGCAAGTTAAATTGTGTTTTCTTCCATTTCTTTTTAGTTCTTAAACTAAGATGAAATTCTGTCAAAAAATGAATATACATTTTTGTTGTTTTGTCCCGCGGAGTCACCTGTGACTCATAGCAACCCAATCGATGTACAACAGCCCTAAACCCTGTTCTAATCTGTGCCAGCTTTGTTGTCTCTGACACACCTGCCCCCACCACCCCAGTGACTGAATGAATCCATCTCGGCAAGGATCTTCCTCTCTTGCGCTGTCCCGCCACCCTCCCAAGCATGTCATCCCTCTCAAAGGACTGGTCCCTCCTTGCAACATGCCCAAAGTATGTCAAATGAAGCCTCAGAATCCTTGCCTCCAAGGAGCAGCCTGGTTTCACCCTCTCTGGGACAAACCTATTTGTTTTTCTAGCAATCTCCTTTGAAGTATTTTTTTTTTTCTATATTTCATTTAAGAAAATATTTTGAAATGCGGAAATTGCAAATATCAGGATATTTCATCCATAAACAATTAAGTTTGTATTTCCAAAATATCAGGATTTTTTTTATAATATGTCATCATAACAAAATTAGTAAATATGTTTTTATATGATACACATTCTACATTTAAATTTCCACTTTTCCTTCAAATGTTTTGAAAAACTCCTTCCTCTACAGAAATCTCTACAGAAATGTATATCCAATCAAAAGTCATGAATCTATTTTGAATCTTACGATTTTCATATGTCTTTAAATGTGGACCACAATGAATCCTTTTTCCCCCCTTTTTCTTTTTTTTAATTGAGATTTTAGTTAAAGTTTATAGAGAAACTGAATTTCTGTTCATTCATTGTTGCACATTTTCCTCCCTCTCTTCTCCCAGTTTGCTTTTCTCTTTGGAAAAAAAAATTTTTTTTCATTGTTGTACAGTTCCCCACCCCCAACCCAGTCCATTTTACTATGCACCTTTTATTCTGGACTGTTGTCATACAAATAATAACTAATCATGTATTCCTTTTAAGCAGTTCTTTCCCTCCTCTGTTTGAATGTGTTATTTATCCCCTCTTTTCATAGTTTCCCCCAACCTTTTTTCCCCTTAATATGACTGTTCTGTGAGTAAATTGTACTAGAGCATTCTTAGTTTCTGTGTATATCAAAATGCTCATTCTAGCTGGCTTTGCCTTCTTTAACTCATGCAGTCGATTTCTTTGCATTAAAAACCTTCATTGAATTTTCAAGACTGAATCTTTATGACATACTGTCGTCCAACTTTCTTCTGTAGAGCAGCTGGTAGATTTGAACTGACTCCCTCTTGATTGTAGTGGCCACACTATGCTAACAGGGCTCCTCCCAAGTCTTGTGTTGTTAAGTAGTATAAGTTGGAAGTACTCATAACTGACATTAATGGGTTTTCAGAAGCAATAAATCACAAGGAACACTGCCCATCTTTCTCCTGCAGAGCAGCTGGTGGATTTGAACGGCATTTCTTTGGGATTGCAGTGCAGCTTCTTACTACTGAGTTTCAGAGCTCCCTTTTATTTGATTAGGAGTTATTCTTTTTCAAGTGCGTATTCTTTGTACTTTCATAACTAGTGCATTCATTAGTATTCTTTTGTAGAAAGGAGCTGTTTCTTGTCAGCTAGGACTGGTTATCTTTAAGTGCTATCCCTAAATAGCAGTCTTAAGAGTCAAGGTGTCTTGGTGACATAGTGCATGAATCATTGGGCCACTAACTAAAAGGGCCACAGTTTGAATTCTCCAGCTGTTCCACAGGAGGTGGATAAGGCAGTCAGTTTCTGAAAGGATTACAGCTGTGGAATCCTTAGGGGCAATTCTCTGTCCTTTGAGTTGCTATCCATATCTACCCATACCCATCAAATCAGTTACATCTTACACTGACCTCCATTAAGTTTCAGAGGCTGTACATCTTTACAGAAGGCTGCCTGTCTTTCTTTCGTGCAGCAGCTGGTCCATTTGAACCATTTACCTTTCAATTAGCCATGAGACATGTAACACACTGCACTATACAACTACAGAGCTCTTTTTTGAGTTGCTATTATTCACAGTCAGCTTGAAAGCAGTGGCTTTGGTACTTCTGTTTTTATGGGATGTTGTTGTTAAGGGCCGTTGAGTCGCAGGCAACTCGTAGCAACCCTATGAAGGAGAGTCCTCAATGCTTGGGTGTCTCTCATCCTCTCTCCAGGTTCATAGGGTTTCTAGAGGCAAGCTATTATGGAAGTGGATGCCACCCCTCCTTCCAAGCTTGTTTTAATTGGGGAGCTCCATCCCACTCTGTCCGCATTGGGTAACCAGCCATTAACGCATTTGACACACATCAGTGTGACAGTGTTGAGCCTCACAGCAACCACAAGTTTATGGGTTAGGTAGGATAAATGCTTAATTCTTCCTTTTACTCTAAAGTAAGGCTCTTGTGGTGGTTCTGGACCTGTGTGCTGTTGCCCTTTCCCACCTAGGATAACAGGCTTGGGGAGGATGAAGTTGGCACCTACAAGCACCCTTCCCTGCCTCCATCTCCCAAAACTGGTCGAAGATTTAGCAGTAAGAAGAGTGGAGCTGAGATGTTTTTAATATCTTTCTGTGTTTTTTAAAGTAATATTTTAAAGTAAACAAATGACCAATATCGGAATATTTCACCTATAAATGCTTCCAATTTCCTTGAGTTTCTAAAAGTTGATGTTCTAGAATTTAATGACATTTTGTTTTAATTTTATTTTTTTAAATGTGTGGTATGTGTTCTTGATTTTTTATTTTTGAAACTAAGTTTTCTCTTAAGATACATTTAAGAGGGAACTCTGACTTGAGGTGAGGGAAAGATTGTATACATTGTTCTTGGTTGACTAAAGATTCAGAAACTATTATATGCAAGATATGGTATTGAACTTAGGACAGAAACAATATTATTGAACATGAATAAGAGTTGTTAGTTAAGAAGGTAGCATAGATCCAGGACCAAATTTAATATGAAAAAGGAACCTACACTCACTGTACTGAGTTCTGAGTGACTGAGAGGAAATATAGAGGAACACATTTTAAATTTATATTGCTAGTGAAAAACCACTCCTATTAAGTTGATTTCAACTCAAAACAACCCTGTAGAACAGAATCAAACTGCCCTACAGGATATTCAAGTTGTAATCTTAACAGAAGCTGACTGCCATGTCTTTTTCTTGTGGTGTAGCTAGTGGGTTCAAACTGCAATTTTTATAGTTAGTTCTCAATGCACCACCAGAACTCTTAATACGGTTGTTGTTGTTGTTGTTATGTGCCCTTGAGTTGCTTGTGACTTACAGCGACCCTATGTACAAGAGCCCTAAACCCTGCTCTATTCTGTGCCAACCTCACTGTCTCTGACACACCTACTCTCATTACCCTAATCACTAATCGATCTATCTCATCAAGGGTCTTCCTCTCTTGCACCTTCCCTCTACCATGCCAAACATTATGTCTTTCTGCAAGGACTGGTCCCTCCTTGCAACGTGTTCAAAGTATGCCAGACGAAGCTTCAGAATCCTTGCCTTCAAGGAGCATCCCACTTCCACCCTCTCCAGGACAAACCTATTTGTTCTCCTTGCAGTCCATAGCATATTCAACACTCTTGTCCAGCACCACAGCTCAAAGGCATCAATTCTCTATCATCCCTAGTCACTGTCCAGCTCTCTGACACATAGCACGCAATTGCAAAGACTATGGCCTGGATCAGGTGCACCTTAGTCTCAAGCCTGATGTTGTTGCTCTTCAGTATTCTGGAGAGGTCCTTTACAGCTGCCTTTCCCAGTGCAATTCGTCTCTTGATTTCCTGGCTGCTGGTACCAAGAGTGTTGATTGTGGAGCAAAGCAAAGCAAGAGTATTGATTATGGAGTCAAGCAAACTAAAACTGTTAACAATCTCAATCTCTTCACCATCCATACTGATGCTGCCAATTGGCCCAGTGGTGAGAATCTTTGTTTTCTTGATGTTGAGCTTCAAGCTATATTGAAGACTGCAGTCCTTGACCTTCTGCAGCAAGCGCTTCAGGTCCCCCTCAGTTTCAGCAAGCAGGTTTGTGTCATCTGCATAAGGCAGGTTGTTGATGAATCTTCCTCCACTTCTGATGCCACATTCCTCCTTGTATAGCCCAATATCCCGGATGATCTGTTCTGCATACTGATTGAAAAGGTATGGAGACAGAATACATCCCTGGCTGACACCCTTCCCAATTTTGAACCTTACAGTGTCTCCTTGCTCTGTTCTAATGACTGCCTCTTGGTTCAAGTATAGGTTTCACATAAGCACAATCAAATGTTCTGGGATTTCCATTCTCTTCAGAGTTAGCCACAGTTGTTTTTTTTTTTTCACAGTTTGTTTTTATCCACACAGTGGATCTACACATTGTATAGTCAATGAAACACAGATGGACATTCCTCTGGTACTCTCTGCTTTCTGCCAAAATTCATCTAACAATAGCTATAATATCCCTCGTACCATGGCCTCTTTTAAACCCAGCTGGCACATCTGGCAGTTCTCTGTTGACGTTTTGCTCCAGTCGTTTTTGGATAATTTTCACATGCCTGCGTGTGATATTAATGATACTGTTTGATCATTTCCACACTGTGTTGGATCACCTTTCTTTGGAATGGGAACAGATATCTCTCTTTTCCAGTCAGTTGGCCAGAGCTGGCTGCCTCCAGATTTCTTGGCACAACTTAGCACATCCAGGGCAGCATCTGTTGAAATATGTCAGTTGGTATGTCATTAACTCCTGGGGCCTTGTTTTTTGCCAGTTCTTTCAGAGCAGCTTGAACTTCCTCCTTCATCACCACAGGGTCTTATTCATACGTTGTTTCGTGAACTTCTTCTGTGTCAGCCAATTCCTCTGGTACAGTGACTCTTGTCTACTCCTTCCATCTTGTTTTAATGCTTCTTGGATCATTTAACAAAGCATCCTAAGTATTGCCACTCGTGACTCTTAATATTATTGAACAAAGAAATAAAATCCATTTTTATTTAGTCGATTCCAATTCCAGTCAATCTCTTGTGTTATAAAGTAAAATTGCTTCATAGGGTCTCATTGAGTCTGATCGTTGTAGAAGTAGATTGCTAGGCCTTTCTTCTGTGATACTACTGTAGTTGCATCCACTATCTTTTAGACAGTATTAGAGTGGAAACCATGATTGACACCAAAAGAGCCTTACTAATGTGGAATAAAGCCAGATATTTGGACAGAAGGAACAATGTTAAAGCTTACATTTTGGGTTTTTAAAAAAAAGCTTCTGAAAAAGGTACTAAATATTTAATGCAAGATTTATGTAATATGCAATAATGAATTTTGAAAAATGAGCCTAACTAGAGGAAATTGAGTGAAAGTTTTTGTGCTAATACTTGCCTTACACTGTGATAATAGGGACTGAAGAGGAAGTTGTTAAATTAAGGGGGAAAACAGAAGTCATTTTTCTATTATTATACCCAATAAATAATATCTCTTATTATTATCTATTTTCTAAAGTAGAATTTTTCTTTCTGTTTGATTTTAAGGATTTTTTTTGGTTTACAGGATTACAGAGCTCTACTCCATAAACAGTAAAAAAAAAAAACCCACAAAATTTGATAAGGTATTTACAGCTAGAAGACTAAGTGATTTGCTGTTTTTCTTTTTTCAACACAGTTTATGACCAGCTTTTAGGGTTTAATTGAATGCTTCTATTCAGAGCTTATTAGGATGGTCTAATAAATTAAGAATTTAACTGCAACCTTTACATTTTTTGTAGAATGGCTTTAAGTGTCATTGTATGTCCGAATCTCATCAGAGACAACTCTTGCTGGCTTCAGAAAATCCTCAACAATTTATGGATTATTTTTCAGAGTAAGTAACTCAGAGACATTTGTTATAAGTTTTACTTAGTTGGACAGTTAATGCCTGCTTCATTTCTATATTGATGTTCTAACCCTTACAGTTCTGTTCAGTTTCTGTCAGGTCGGCTCTGTCACAGCCACTCTGTGTGGTGCCTGGTGAGTAGGCTAGGTTTTCAGCAAGATGACTTGACACAGTGACTATAAAAATGAGCTCAAGCAAGACAGAGATGGTGAGCATAGTGCAGAGCCTCCATCTGTAGGAATCGATGGAATACTAATTGACATGTTTCAGTGAACAGATGCAGCTCACCAATCTGTCCTAGGAAATTTGGAGGAAGAGATCTATATTTTGTTCAGTTCCCAAGAAAGGTGACCCAATAGAATGTGGAAATTATTGAAGAGTATCATTAATAATACATGCAAACAAAATACTGCTGAGGATCATCCAGAAGCGTCTAGAACAGGACATAGAGAACTGTCAGAAGTTCAGACTGGGTTTAGAAGAGGCTGTGGTACCAGGGATATCATTCCCGATGTTAGATGGATCCTGGCTGAAAGCAGAGAATATCAGAATATCTGTTTGTGGTCTAACTGTGCAAAGGCATTTGATTGTGTGAATCATAACAGTCTATGGCTAACACTGAGAAGAATGGGAATCCCCAAACACCTAATTGTCCTCATGTGAAACTTAGACCCACAGGCTGTTGTGCAAACAGAGCAAGGGAACACTACATGGTTTAAAATTAAGAAAGTGTGTGTCAAGGTTGTATCCTCTCTTCCTGTCTATTCAATCTGTATGCCAAGGAAATCATATGAATAGCAGAACTCGATGAAGAATATGGCATCAGGATCAGAGGAAGACTCATCAGTAATAACGTGTATTATGCAGATGACACAAGCTTGCTTGCTTGCTTGCTTGCTAAAAGTGAAGAAGACTTGAAGTGCTTGTTGCAGAAGATCAAAGATTACGTTTCAGTGTCAAGAAAACAAAAATTCTTACCACTGGACCAATAGGCAACATCATGATAGATGGAAAAGACGGAAATTTGTCAAGGACTCCTGGGCAATTGTTTGCCAGTCTCTGAGACCATGTACAGCTGCTTGCCTCATTATCCACAATTGCATGAGTCATTTCCCTGATGAGTTTTGAGTTTCTTTGAGACTTCCTAGCAAATAACAATCCAAAGACATAGATGGGAATGGGTGCCTGAAAGAAGGAGGAATAGTTAAGGTCAGGGATGATGAGTGTTGCAGCAGTTTTGACCTTTGGATTATTGTTGTTGAACTCTGCCTCACAGAAACTAATCTGTACTAATCATTGGAACAGAAGCTATTCAGACAGAACTCCTTTACTTCTTAGAAATCACTATAGTCCCAAAAGCTTTTGTTATATGGCTTTATTAAAGCAGAGAAACATTAAATATTTTTATTTATTAGTTAATTCCCTTTGTTTCAAATAAAAATGATAATTCATTATAAAAAGTAGTTTACTTTGTGAGTAGGTGCCTTCCCTCTAAGAATACACTGGCAGAAGCAGTTTATGTGCAATTCTTATTTGATGACAGTATATTAAAATATTAGCATGACATGTATTAATATAATAATTTTCACTGCTCATATCAAGAATACATTGACTGCCAGTATAGTTTGACACCACTACCTTAATTTGTGCTAAGATGCTAACAGGTTTACTCTCTTACTTTTGCACTATCCATGTCAATAAAGCATGACCTTTTCTATTACTTGCTATGCATCTGAAATTTAGACAGTGAATAAGTATGACAGAAGAAAAATTGATGTATTTGAGTTGGGGAGTTGAAATGCACTGAATATTCCCTGAACTTGCCAAAGAACAAATAAGTATGTCCTGGAGAAAATGCAACCAAGCTGCTCCTTAGGGACAAGGATGATGAAACTTGGTTTCACATATTTTGTTGTTAAGATAGGCCAATCCTTGGGAAAAGATAACACTCTTGGAAATTTAGAAGGTCAGTAAAGAAAGGACGACCTTCAACAAGTTGGACTGACAGACCGACTATTGGTGGGTTCAAATATTCCAGATATGGTGAGGATGGCCCAGGATAGGGTTACTATGAGTCATAGAAGACTTAAAGGCATATTATCAACAACAGCTTAAAAATTTTGATCTTCCTTCCTGGTGTTTGAGTGATATTCTTCTGACAGTTCTAATCTGTATGTCCTAAGGGTACTTCAAAGTCATTATTTCTAATGCTGAACTTATTAGTTTACCAAACCTGTTTTGCATCTGCTTCTGGTTAATAACTACCCAGACTACTAAGATACAAAATTCAGAGTTTGTATTTCTGTCAAGTTCTCAGGTAATTTTGATGTTTGAGACTATAATCTGATTTTTTTTCTATATTGTCCACCAAAATGATATTTCTAAATCACATAAATTAGCAAATCATTTCTGAAACTTACTGTTCTTTAGTGCTTTTTCAGTGCCTACATAAAGCTCGCCTTTGTTAGGATAAAATTTAAAGGACTTCAAAAATTGCCACCTCATCCCTCCTAACATTCTATTTTACCCTCATCTCACTTTTACTTTTCTCTGTTTGGTACTTTAGCCAAATTAAATTTATTTTAATTTCTCAGATATGACCTGCTTTTCTCTCTCTTTTCTAGCTGAAAATTAACATCTTTACCATTTTATTTTAAATCTTATTTATACTTTACATTGTCTGTATTATGAATTTAAGAATCTACTTTTCAGCTCTTTCTATGGAATTTTGTTACATCTCTTTTTCCATTTGATTGCCACATTTTTGTCAGCTTGTAACCTTAAATGTCAAGATTTGTATTTTATTCGCCTGATTTTATTGAGTACTTGATAATATTTTATTTCCTTTAGATGGACATATTTCATAATATGTACTAATTTCATGTGAAATAAAGGTAGTATTAGTATCATATATTGGGTGGGGCTATCATAACACTTTCAGTAGCGCTAAAATTAGCCTTCTTGAGGGATCCATTCCTATGATATGAAATAACTTTTGCAATGACTACTTTGCGTACATAAAACACTTCCATTCCATACTGATTTTTTTACTTTGATTTTTCTTATAATCTAGTTTAGAATTATTTTCTTGTTCAGTTTTTTACAGATTTACAATGTAGACATATCATATATTATTTGGATGTGATTGTTCAAATCTCAGAAATACAATCCTACATATTTGTAGAAATTATCTTAATGCTGTTCTTTAATTCTTTATTAGGGAATTTCGAAATGATTTTCTAGAACTTCTCAGGAGACGTTTTGGTAAGTATCTTAAATATTGTGCAGATTTTAATTTTGCCTTTTTTACAATATTCTCAGGATAACAATCCTGTATTTTATTTTCAGGCACCAAGAGAGTCCACAACAACATTGTATATAATGAGTATATAAGTCATCGAGAACATATCCATATGAATGCTACTCAGTGGGAAACACTGACTGATTTTACCAAGTGGTTGGGCAGAGAAGGTAAGAATAATTGCAATAAATGACTCCATTTCAGAAAGAAAAAATTGTCATAATGTCTATGTAAATTACTGGAAATGAGAATGAGTAGGACAATTGAAAAACTGAGGGAGATGATTGATTTTATTACAATTTTATGTACATTTCTGAGCAGTTCTTTTGACAATGCAAAGATTTATCACTGAGGCATCCTCCACTTATATTAAAGGTATTTACAGTCTCTTCTGGGTTTGTTTTTTTTCACTTGCTCTGGTGGCCTAGTGGTAAGAAGCTGTGCTGCAATCCCAAAGGCATGCAGTTCGAATCCATCAGCTGCTCTGTGGGAGAAGCCTGAGCAGTCTCCTCCCCTGTGATTTACTGCCTGTAGCAGCCTGCTAAAGGGTCAGCTGTGAGTTGGCTTCGACTCCACAGCACACTATGATAATGCTTATCTTATTTAGGAGAGTTTTCATACTCTCTTTTTTTCCCCCCACAAAGGTCTATTCCTATTTTATTAATAAATTTAAGCCTCATCTGAATAATTATGCCTTTTTTGCAATTACAGAATCTAAATTTACTAAAAAGATTAAAGGAAGTAATAAACATTATTTAAATTAACTGTGCTACCAGACAATATCTCATTGTTTTATAAAATTTTTTTCTCTCCACTTTTTTTAAATTTTTTTTATTTTATTATTTTTGTGTGCGCGTGCCGTCAAATCAGGTCTGACTAGTACAGGAGGAGATTGCCCCTCCTTCCCCGGCAGAGCATCTGGTGGATTCCACCCGTTTGCCTCTGGGATTGTAGTTGCAGCTCCTTGCCACTAGGCCACCAGAGCTCCCCTCCACTTTTTTTTAATTTTATGTTGGTTTACATACAAATTTGTAAATACTGAGGTGAATTCTGTTGAAAAGAGGAAAACTAATATATTTGAAATGTTCTACTTTCTGTATAAAAGGACACGGTATAGAGATATTTTCATCTTGTTCAAATAAATGAGTCATCAGTTAAAAGAAAATTGTAAACATTGTGTATCATTCACATATCTTGTGTTTCACACATTCCGAATTAGTTCACTCAGCATAATACTCTCTAGAGTTTTCTCATGTTATATAGTACTTGACAGATTCATTGCTCCTTTGCTGCATAGTATTCCTTGTGTGAATGTACCATATAATTTCTCAGTCTTTTTGTGGATAGACATTTGTGCTGTCTCCATTTTCTTGCTATTGTGACTAACGCTGCGTTGAACATAGGTGTACAAATCTCTGTGTCTCATTTCTATTTTCCTTGGGATATATTACCAGTAATGCAATGGTTGGGTCATATGGGATTTCTATATTCAGCTTTTTTGAGGAAACACCAAACTGCCTTCCAGAGTGGATGTACCATTTTATAGTCCCACGAGCAGTGTGTGAGAGTTCCAGTCTCTCCACATCCTCTCCAATGTTGACTGCTTGCTGTCCTGTTAAACTTTGCTATTGCTTCTAGGGTGAGATGATATCTCATGATGGTTTTGATTTGCATCTCTCTTATGGTCATTTTGAGCATTTCTTCATGTGTCTTTTGGCCATCTGTTTGTCTTTGTGAAAAGTCTTTCCATGTCTTTTGTCCATTTTGTGACTAGGTTATCTGTCTTTCTTGTGGAAGTCCTGTAGTGTTCTGTAAACTTTTGTTGTGAGACCCTTGTCTGAGATGTCATTGCCAAATGTTTTTCCCCAGTCTGTAGGTTTTCTTTTCACCCTTTTGGAAAAAGTTTTTGATGCACACAGGGACTTAATTTTTAGAAGGTCTCATTAGTCGATATTCTCTCTTGGTTGTACACCATCCTCTCTTAAGGTGGTTTTAAATTTACCTTTTCTGATATAATGCATAACATTTGGAAAAAGAAAGAAATTTGTGTCTGTGCATTTCTTTATTCTGTGTAGTACCTTATTCCATTTTTGGGAACAGATTTCAAGTTAGTATAGTATCAAGAGTTCGTTGAATACACAGTTGAGAAATACAAAATAGGACTCAGTTCATGTGACTTTTATATTTTAATATGTTGCCCTAATATAGAAATATAAAAATCAAGATAATATATTTTCCTATTTATAGAGATAAAATAAAGCATCTAAATTTTAACAATTTTAAATGGAAAAATTAATATATGCTTTTTATTTTATTTATGTGAGTACATTAAATAAAAATGAGTAAATAATGCAGATATAGAATATTCTATTTATATTTAGGTTTGGCTTTCATTGCCTAAAAACTTATGGACTATGTTATGTTTTTAAGGCTTATGCAAAGTGGATGAAACACCAAAAGGTTGGTATATTCAGTATATAGATAGAGACCCAGAAACTATCCGCCGGCAACTGGAACTAGAGAAAAAAAAGAAGCAGGACCTTGACGATGAAGAAAAAACTGCCAAGTTTATTGAACAACAAGTGAGAAGAGGTCTGGAAGGCAAAGAACAGGTAGGAAATAATATTTATATAGACAGCTGTGCTGGCTTAGTGGGTAGGAAGTTACACTAACAATTCAGAGGTAGGCAGTTCAATTCCACCAGCCACTTTGCAGGAGAGACATGAGCAGCCTTCTACCATGTGATTTACAGCCTCTGAAAACCTGTGGAAGGGTCACCAATGAGTCAGTGCAGACTCGAAAGCACATAACAGCAACTATGACAATGAGTAAGTGAGTGATTATCACCTGGAAAGGCAGTGTTCTAAAATTCTTAAAAACTCATTACTATTGAGTTGATTCTGACTCACAGTCCTTTTCTGCCAAGTTTCTAATGATTGTAAATCTTTAAGAGGAAACTGACCACCATTGTCTTGGAGCAGCTTATGGATTTGAACTCTTTGCCTGGTTTGTGGTGCAACTTAAAATGCACTACACCCCCAAAGTTCCTTTCTTAACGTCTTAAGAAGTGGGGGAAAAAGGAAATATTTCTAGATTTTGTTCTTAATTAATTAAGAGGGGAGAGGGAAACAAATGATGTAGTAAAAGCACAGATTTTTCAAGTTGAGACTTACTAACTCTATAATCTGGTATAATTGCACGATCTTTCTTTTTTCTTTTACCCTGATCTTTCTAAACTCAGTTTCTTTATCCCGAAGATAGTGGTAGTTGCTAGTAGGAGAAGACATATAAAGTGAATTGAGTGATTAATTCAATGTTGGAGGTAAGCACACTGTGTGGGAATGCAGAAGGCCCATGCTTACTCCACCTTGGGCAAGAGAAAGTTTAGGCAAAGGTACTACTTCTGACTTACTGAGTTTTGGGAAGTTAATAAGTGAAACTCAGGGAAGAGGGAGAAGAGAGGGCCTGGTAAACATTTGTGTTAGACTATCTGGGTAATTTCAACAGTACTTAAATAGATGCGTCCTGTGGGCCAGTCACTCTTCTAGGCCGTGGGGATAGAGCAGTGATGAAAAGATGCTAAACTGTCTGTCTTTGTGGCCCTCACAGAGCTCATTCATACTAAAACTTGTGTGTGATAAGGAGATACAGCCTGGTGTGTATGTGAGCCATTTAGTATATTTCTAAATTTTTATTGATGGTAGTAGTATGAGCTGCCGAGTCAAGTCCAACTCATTGTGACCCTGCATATGAGAGAAAACTGCCTTACAGGGTTTCTTAGTTTATAATCTTTATGGAAGGAGCCTTCGTATAGTGATAAAATGCTTTGCTACTTACTGAAGGATTGATGCCTTGAACCTACCTGCTGCTCCGTGGGAGAAAGACGTATATTCTGCTTCTGTAAAGATTATAGCTATGGAAATAATACAGGGCAATTCTGCTCTATCCTGTAGGGTTCCTAGGAGTTGGAATTAACTTGATGGCAGGGATTTGGTTTAGATGAACCTTTATGAACGCCATCAGCCTTTGGAACAACCCACCTTTCAGTTAGCAGCTGAGTGTGCCATCAGGGCTCTTTACCTCAGTAAAGAGTGGTTAAGTATTTAGCTGATAACCAAAAGATTGTCATTTCAAACCCACTAGCTGCTCCAAAGGAGAAGAGAGTGTGAGTGTACTTCTATAAAGGGAGCTCTGGTGGCCTAGTGGTAAGAAACTGTTCTGCAATCCCAAAGACACGTATTTGTAATCCACCAGGTGCTTCACAGGAGGAGAACAGTGTCCTCTTGTGCATTTACTGCCTCTGAAAACCCACTAGAGGGTCGGTTATTGGTCATTTTCAATTATATGGCATATGTTGTTGCAACAACAGAAATGTCCACAAAGATTTGCAGACTTATAAACCCTATAGAACGGTTCTACTCTGTCCTAAAAGGTCACTGTAAGTTGACATCAACATGCTGGCAGTGAGAATTTTTCCTCCCAAATGTGAGTTATATATATGTAAAAGTGCAATATAATAAAATATGTATGTTGTTGTGATTGTGGGCCTTTGAGTCCTTCAGCTAAATAATAGGTTCTTTTTTGTTTTAATAGATTTGTTTTTAAAATAGACACTAGCAGAAGAAACATTTAATTTCCTCCATAAGAGGATATTTCCTCTTATGGAGGAAATGAAATCTTTTTGTGTAGACTAATGTGTTGTTGTTGTTATGTGCCATTGAGTTGCCTGCAACTCATAGTGACCCTGTGTACAACAGCCCTAAACGCTGCTCTATACCTTGCCAATCTTATTGTTTCTGACACACCTACACCCATTGCCCCAATCACTGAATCAATCCATGTGATCGAGGGTTTTCCTAGCCTGTGCTGTCCCTCCACCCTCCCACACATGACGTCCCTCTCCAAGGACTGATCCCATCTTGCAACATGTTCAGAGTATGTCAGATGAAGCTTCAGAATCCTTGCTTCCAAGGAGCATCCTGACTTTACCCTCTCCAGGACGAACCTATTTGTTCTCCTGTCAGTCCATGATATATTCAACACTCTTCTCCAGCACCACAGCTCAAAGGCATCAATTCTCCTTTTATCATCCCGAGGCATTGTCCAGCTCTCTGATGCATAGCAAGTAATTGCAAAGATTATAGCCTGGATCAGGTGCACCTTAGTCTCCAGACTGGCATCATTGCTCTTCAGTACTTTGGAGAGATCTCTGACAGCAGACTTTCCCAAAGCACTTCGTCTTTGGGAAACGTTATTTTATGACATGGTAATTTTGTACTGTTAAAATCTAGTATTTTGTACTTTGTATGAGAAGGAATAGTTAGCTTCCATTCTAAATGGCAGATGAAAGCCCCCGATCATTCAGGTTATGGCCTTTTACCTTCTTTTATGAAATCTTATGTGGAGCATTACTTTAGAAAATAATATTTTAGGAATCTTTCAAAAATGGCTCTTACTACAAGTAGAAATAACAACTTCTATTGAACAATTATTAGACAGGCACTAGGCTCAGTGTTATATAGCCCTCAAGTATTTATTCATCCCTATTTTGAAGATAGAGTCAAGCATAGAGTCAAGCATAGGAGAGGTAATAAAACTGATTGACATTATGATGTTAATAGGATTAGAGGTGGATTTTATATGTACTTTGTTTTGGTGCTTTCTTAAAAGTCTTAGACTCTTTTTTTTTTAAAAAGAAAAACACATTAAAGCTTTATTCTTTTATTTCTTTCAGATAAGTCTTAGACTCTTAATCATTGCACTCCGCACAGTGTAGAAAGGTTTTGCTTACTCTTCTCTTCAATCTAATATTCCTAAAGTTCATTACATTTTTATTGTTGTTGTTGTATACTGTTAAATCAGAACCAACCCATAGGTGGCCCTTCGGAGTTTTCAGAGGCGGTTAGTAGCACACAAGGAGATTGCTTATCTTTCTCTCGCAGAACGGCCGGTGGATTTGAACCTCGTGCCTTTGGTATTGCAGTGCAACTTCTTGCCACTAGGCCAGCAGAGCTCCTTCCTTTTTATTGGTACCTGCTTAAATAATAATTGTTGTTGTTGTTGTTATGTGCCGTCGAGTCGCCTGCGACTCATATCGACCCTATGTACAACAGCCCTAAACTCCGCTCTGTCCTGTGCCAAT